CTCTCTCTCTCTCTCTCTCTGTCTGTCTCTCTCTCTCTCTCTCTTCTTTGGTCCGCATAAAATTGATCGCGTACTAGAATCCGATACACTTACTGCGGTCAGCATCAGTAACGCGCGATGATACGAGTAACGCGCAGGCACATGATGAAAGTAGACTATGAGGTTTGCTCGTTGATTTTTCGACGCTAAAACTAGTTTCCGTGTCTATTGTTACCCGCATACGTCTCGTAACTTGATGGTTTTTTGTTATATACATGATAACATGCAAGCATGCACATGCCTGCGGTTTTATACTGTGAGAGAAATTCAAACGTGCGTATATATACTCGCTCCCAGAGATATGCTACGCTCGAATTATACGCGAATTACACGCTCGAATTTCTCTCTAAAATACCGCTTCTGTCTCGTTTCTTAACAAAATTAATAAAATCTGAAACGGTTTCATTATAATTATTTTATTCATTTCAATTGGATTTTTTGAATAAAGAGCTCAAGATATTAAAGTTATCTAAATAGGATTTTAATTTGAAGTTTAATATAGTAATAATAATTAAAAAGATATAAAATAATGACTTCTTTTCTGATATTTTCATTGAAAAAAAATTCTTTTCAAATTGGCCAAAACGCTGCGATTAAAAGAATACCTGGTGGAATACGTAATTATAGAATGCATGTTTACGTAGGTATCCCTTCGGACCCATTACTCGCCTGAATGAAAGAGAAATGTTTCTCACAGCGCGTGCCAGCGATTCTGTTGTTCTTCTCCGGAAGTACAGCATAATAGCTACGTAAAAGTCACTTGCTCATCGGAGTGATTATTATGCATTGTGCATAAGAAATTTATCTTTTTCGCGCGTGACATAATACACCCTTAATTCACAAAAGTGCACCTGGCGGATGTGACAATACTTAGAAATGGATCAGATTTCTTAACATTGAGACATAAAAATTTAGTGATATATAAATTCTGAAAATAATCCCGAAATTTGAGCAAAAATTTAATTAATTAATTATTATATATACATATATTGAAATTAAAGAGAAAAAGAAAAAAGAGAAAAACAAAGAGAGACAGGCTTTGTATATGCATTTGCAAGATCTTTTTATGAACATCATCTTTAAAAACATTATTCTAAGATGCTATGAAGAGCGGATGTTTCGGTTGAGTGCTTAGACCGCTATTGTGTTAGTTATAACATGATAACAGTTTTCTTCTCGTAATAACAATAACGTTTTAAAACCAAAATATAATTAGAAGAAATGATAAAAAAAATTTCATTACAAAGGCGGAATTTATTAATCGGAAAACTTGATAATATTTTGAGTAAAATACGTTTTATTTTTATTAAAAGTAAATTAATTATACTATATTAAAAATATTAAAAATAATTTATTACACTACATATAACTCCACGCGTAAACAAAATTTGCAATAATTAAGATTTGCGTTAAAATCTTCCATCAGTGCACTCGTGAATTTTGTATTTCTTTTTTTTTTTTTCGAAAGTTATTGTGAGCACTCTGAGCATCCATTACAAAGGATATTGCGATGCGTTCATCGATGATACAACCGTTTCGATTGGTACGCGAAATCAATGGAATGAATTTAACGACGATTACTAAATCAATGATTTATCGCACACGCATGTACGATCAACTACAGGCATCATCGGACGCTGAATAGAACTCTAATGCACTCAGTTATCAGTCGCAGATTTATTGTCCTGGCTCATACCAGTAGGTTCCATCATCCACGAGCCTTTCTCTCGCGGATATCTCTATGCGATCACAATTCGTCGTGCGAGTCACTCGAATAGCACAGTTTGAAAAGAATCCAACACGATCGCACAATACTCGGATCTCGTTACGATTTACGAAGGTGTCACAAGATAATCACTCCCGATGGAGTAATTCCGGCGAAAAAGAGCATTAAAGAAAATTGGTAGGAATTTATTTTACGAGATTGGGTAATTCTAGAAACCAAAAAAAGTAATTTTAAAAACAGAATTTTAAATATACTCTTCTAGTTATCCTTGTTTCTCGTGAGACAAATGAATGATTTTCTTTATATTATAGAATTTAACGATATTCGTTTTTTTTTTAATTTTTAATCTTCTTATAAAGATTAAATTATTTCATGTATTTTTGTTAAAATATTTCTTATAAAATGGATTTCCCTTAATTTCTTTTAATAGATTGAGTTTATTTATCCTCATCCAAAAGAGACTTGTTTCAACCAGTATTTGCTGCATAATTATATGATATACGCTTAAAATAGCAAGTTATGGAATACTCTGCATATTACTGCATCAAACTTCACGTAATGAAATCACGTTTGAAATCTTAGCTAACGATAATAATATCTTGCAGCCAATCAATTTTCGATTAGAATATAATGGAAACGCACAATTAATGTTCAAAGTGCATACCGTTCAAGGTTACAATATTCTGTCAAAAGAAAGATCAAATAATTAAACGCAATTTAACGCAAAAGTAATTGATGTTGTACAAAGAGAAAGACGAAAAGACCAACATACCGGATATATGATATGTTCTCCATCCATATGCGACGTTTAATTCCTTTTTACCCTGTAATAGACCGAAATGAACTCTGCCAGCACTCTCTTGTGGATTCGGCGTTCTCCATGGTCGTGCCTCGACCCAATGCTGTGTCACAAGGGCGGCGCAGACGAGTCCACCGCCCAACAATGACAGGAAGAAGGTCGCGAAGATCGTGCCTCTTCGAAACATCGACGTCATCCTCGGATCGCGAGATGATCCAGCTTTCGGATAATTTGCGAGCACTGCGAAGTAAAAGAGCAATAAAGATATATTTAAAAAAGAAATCTTCTTTTAAATAAAAAATATGATATATCATATTTGAAAAGAAGACTTTTTTAAATAAAAAATGTAATATATCATATTTTTTATATTTTCCATACGGAAATATTCTTATTATTATTACAAAAGTATTTAATAATATATATATTACATATATATTTATATATAGTATCCATACATAATTTCACGATTATAAATATAGATCATCTTCATAAAAATTTTTAAGTATTTTAAATTTTAGAACACACAATTGGATTATTCGTGTCCAGCACATTTCTTTTCTTCGAAAAATTAAAAGCATCGCGTAATTAGTTAGAACATTTATATACAATTTATTATAAATTTTTATATTATTATAAATACACAATTTTATAAATATCGTTTAGAGATATTAAAGTACATAATAATTTTTGAATATTTGTTAAAATGATGAAAATTAATCCGATACAAATGATACAAATGATTGTGGATAGTAAAGGACTGGAAAATCGTGTGTATTAAAGGTTAAGGTTTAAAGGTAAAACTTTCCTAATATCAAATTGAAATAAAGAGTAAAAGTTTCTTATCTATTGAAAACCGCTAAACGTACTTCGCAAAGAACTCTCTTCATACACATTCTCTTTAGATCTCCTGATTATATCTTTCCCGATTATATCACTTCCTTTTCTGGATTACGTTAAGAATATTTTCTCACTTTGCCAAGCATGTCAAAATTATGACCAGCCAACAGAAACCCATAAAAATATTCGTCTGAAAAAATTCAAGCGAATACACGTCTTTTCTTCCTTCGTTCACGCTAAAGTAAAAATACCTTTCATCCTCTATCCTGCATGTAGCGCGAAAAGCAAACGTCTTCGCGATCTCTGCATAGAGCAGAGTCTCGCCTCGCTGCATCTTATTAACATCATCTGCGCGTTACACCGCGTACATGAGAACTTACCGATGGAAGCCGCTACCGTCAGAATAACAGTACAAATTTTTAACGTTGGAAACACTTCGATCCTTCTCACGCAAACGAAATGAAATAGCGTTACTGCTCTGTCTGAGAAAAATTCTTTCGCGATACGCGTTGCACTAATTTGAAAAAAAACCAAAAAAAATCGGTAAAAATATAGTAATTTTATAACTAAATATAACTAAAAAATACGCATGCTGAAATAAACACAATTTTTTAAATTCATTTACATTCGTAATACGTTAACAATCGTTGACTAAGTTTTGATTTATTTAGCCAAACTCATATAAACAAAGAATTAATTTCAGAAAACAATAAAATGACTTTTGCGACATTTTTCAGCTTTCGTATCACTATGCATCGGTAGAGCTTATTTTCTTTCTCTCTAGAATAGTCTAGAACAATGTTTTCTCCATCGTTTAACTGACCGAAGGCGCATGCGACATGCTCATGTTTCCACGCAAAAAGAGAGAGAACACACGAAACGTGGGCATCGGCAATCCACTTGACGACAGTCACTATTTAAATTATGCCACACAGAAACTATGCCGCTTTCGCAACAATTATCCGGTCTGATAGAAGAATCTGCGGGTGTGAAAGCGTCTTGAAAACGAAGCACTCAAAGCTTCGATATTTTGTACAGCCATTATATAAAAATAGCATTCACAGGAAAATATAATATATTTCGGATATATATAACGCGAGATAAAATTAATTTAATAAAATATAAAACAATTTTCAGAACTGACAAGAAAAAAATGCTAGTAGAAATTGTCAATTTTGCAAAAGATATTTTCATTTCTGATAGACTATTAATTATAATAATTATACTCACATTACACATAACTCAATTTATGCGCATATTCTGTTATATCTTGAATATGTAATTATGTAACAATAGTTAAAAATAATAGACTATTGAGAGGAAAAATTACTGAAGCGATAAATCAAAATAGTGCACATGTAGTTGCAAATATTTTATTGGAAAAATTGATTTTATTAAATTAATTCATCAAACGAATGCTTCATATAATTGAATTAAATCAATAATTCAATTAAAGATCAAATTAATTAACAAGTTTACCTTCAAATCGTTTAGATATTAAAAAAAAAAAATGAGGATTACATGCCGAAAAAAGTATACAAACTATTTTTTAGAAACACAAATTTAAAGCGGTTTGAAAGTAAGCTCTTCAATTTCACTTTCTGTGAATTGAAAGAACGTGTGATTACCTTGACCCTGACTCTCCGCGAAGTGCACCTGGTTCAGACTCCGCGAGAACTCGCCCTGCTTGACCTTCTGCGAGAAGTCGGCGTTCCCGAGTTTCTTGGAGAACTTGACACGGCAATTATTGCCGCGCGGTTTCGCCGCCCTTAGTAATGACGACGCAGCGGGTTTCGGTCTCTTGGCGAAGGTGTACGGGATCGTGTAAGGCTGCGCCACGTAAAAGTAGATCGGCCGATAATCCTCGTGAGGCTGCGGCTGCTGCACATTGAAGCCGCCACCGTTGATGTTTGTGCAACAACCGGTGCTGGTGTACACGCTCGGTGCGCCGTTGCTGCACGCGTACGAGTTCGCGTAATGCACCCCGTAGTGGTTCGCCGTTTTTCGTGAATTACCTTCCACGGTTCTCAATGAAAAAGAAAGAAAGTTATACCGCTAGTCCTACCTTTGATAGCGTTCGATTTTTTTCGGAATCTTTCTCTTTTAGAATCTTCTTCAGAGATTTGATGATGCGCTTTCTACCGCGTTCTACAACGACCTCTTTACGACGCGATTATTCGAGATCACTTCCGGTAGTGTCCGTTCCGCTAGCAGATTGTCTACCGATTTTTGAATGAGAAGAAATGATCTCGTTTTCAAAGAGTCGCTTTTTTCTTATTTATTAAATCATACGTCCTCTTGTACTTTTGTTATATTTTTCAGCAGGTTAGATTCAAAAAGGTTTTAAATCGCGGAAGAAATTTGGCATTTTTTTCTTCTCCACTTCGCGAAATCAATCGTTTTCTCAAATACGGTAGAAATATTCCTTCTGTGACTTGCGGAGTACATCTACCTGAGTTAATAGAAAGAGAGTGTTCTTTAAAAATGAGGGCTTAGCGTTAATCTCAAGTTGAAAGTCGAAGCTCCCACGTTGGTGTCGCGGTGCTCCTCTTTCTCTCCTTATCACAGGAGTTATCAGAAGCCACAGGTGGTGGATTGCGAAAAGCCGTTCGGCTGTGGATACCTCCACGATCTTTTATTACATATATTTCGATGGTTGCCGGCTCGCGAAGTTAGAAAAGGAGAATTCTCCACTTTAGCTCGTCGCTTCAGAGAAGTTTCTCTCAATTCGAAGGCAACGTGTGTCGCTGAAATTACAGCACGACAATTTTCTTACTCCTTTGTTTCCAATCAAATCCTATTGTGCGTGATTTCTAGAAATTCTGAAACGTCGGCGCTTCAGAATCCACCTCGAGTACCGTTTGATGTCGGGACTTCTCAATGATATCTTGGAAACGTGTGTTTTTTTACCACGTGAGATCTCACGGTGTGTCAACTGTAAAAGAAAGCAATACATAAGGCGATTAAATTACATTAAATTTCATTGTGTAAACTATGTTAACTGTACACGGAAAGAATGATTTTGCTGCAGTATCTAAAAATTTAGTTAGGTACAGATCTGAAAATAATTTTATTAGATCATTAAATATTTATGTATTCTCAAGCTGTTGGTTGCTAAAATGTTAAATTTTAGCAGCATTGCTTATCATGCTTATATTTTTGACATAGTTGTTTCGATGCCCCAACAAAATTACTTTCAAAACTAATTAAATTTTTAGATCTAATTAAATATAGAGAATTCTTATTTCTGATCGAAGCAGATCTTAATTGCTTTAATTATTTAGTGTGAATTTATATACCTACATTTCTAATTTTATAAACCGCGTGTCAAATTGTATTTTTTTTTTTTGGACTTGAAATGCATTCATGCATAGAACTAGAATAGAAATATCACACATTAAATTGTGAAAGCAATTTAATAATTTTTTATAATAATAAGCATCTAATAAGACTTAATTAGATTTATTATCTAGTCGATCTTATTTTAAATTTAATTACTTAAATTTAAATTGTAATTAATAAAATTTTTAGACTTCAGCATTCTTTCTGTGATAAGAAAAAACAAAGATGGAACAGTGACAAATAAAATATATGAAGAGGAAATACAATACTTTTGTTAGAAATTCTACCATCAAAGTACAATGAGTTCTTAGAAAGTAATGCGACACATTTATTTTCTAATCCTTAAACATTATTTTCTTATAACTTAAATTGACTTAAAATACCGACAGTCTAAGACATCACGTTTTATTCTCAACGTTGTGAATAAGTACATACATTACACGATCTCGCATTATTTTAATAATAACATAAGGACTGTTTTTGTACTTTCTTTTAAGATGTCTTTCTGGACGTCTCTATGAAAATAGAGAAAGTTTAAAAACAAAAGCATTTAAAAGGTAAGAATTATTAAATAAGCATATTTAGAATTTAAATAAATTCTTTCTTGAATTCTCTCTCTTTTTCAACTTCAAAGTTTTACATGAAACCAAGAAGAAACAAAGTTTTAGCATTACTAAGGTAACGCCTTTGTATGAAAATTCCAAGAACAAAATTGACAAACAGCACAAATAGAAGCTGAGAGACTGTTGGGAAAATAGAGTTTCATTTCGCATTGACCTGAATTTGAATTGAAAAGTCAGACAACGCCGGCGTATATTTTTAAAGTAAAAATACACAAATCTACCGAGCTACCTTCCGTTTAAGATCGCGCGAAATGGAATGAGGAAATTTCATTGGAGATGCGGAAAGAGCGGGAGAAGATACGGAGAGCTTCGTATTTTCTCCGAGCTCGAACCAAGTCTCACATTGGGTTTTGTAAGCGTAACAGCTACTTAAAGTCTCAACGTTAAAATAAAATGAAACGAATTGCTAATGATCTGTAATAAGCAGACAATCGCTAACGGTATCATAAAATTTAAGAGGCGCGATGTGTAATAACCGTTTCTTGCTATCTGACATTTCTCAAGTGTACTTCATTACTGCTGGAAGAAATTTTGTTATTTCGTCGTTAGTACATCAAGATTTACATCTTTTTTATGGTTAAATATTATAACTAAAGTTGAAATGGTCTGTCAAAAAAAGATCATAGAAGGCAGAAACTCGAAGAAGATTTAAAGAGAGTCTCGAAGAGAGATAATTTAATATTGTTTGTATTTAAGTTTTTATGTAACAGCTGTTCAAAATAATTTCTTTCTCATTTCTTGTTATTCACGAGACTTGAAAGAGAGGATTGAAAGAAACAAATGGAATTATTGTCCCGAAATTTTCATCTCGAAATCATGCATTTGTTTTTATATCATTTTAGTTTATTTATCAATGTTACGGAAAATGAGTTTAAGCAGAGATTCATGCATAATGCTGTCCTGCAACATTCTTGACAGAACTGGAGCAGCAATTGTCGCGACGTAACGTATTGCATGCGCGCCGCTGCATATTATTAAATGCGGACTTAAATGTACACCAAGTATTTTCCTATTACTATCCAAGCTATCTCCGTTAGCTGTGACGTAGGAAATATTCGATTGAAGGAAGGGAAGGAAATTCCAGAGCGTAAAACAAATTCCATTCTCTGAAATGAGCGAAACTCGACGTATCTGCGGGAATATAGTTTTGTTAATTTATTGAATTACATGATAAAGAAGTTCATTAATCTCTCTGGTCTTTGATTTTTTATTTGTACAGGACGTACGAGACAGACCGGATTACAGGATACGATAATTGCAGAATATTAAAACGAAGCGTTCTTTCTCTTTCTTCGGCAAATTTCACGTATAATATAATACATGTATATTTAATATAAAATATAAAAAAAGTATAAAAAAACAAAATATAACAGATAAACATATGGAAAAAAAAGAAAAAAAGAGTATTCATTATTACTTTTATTATTACGCTTAGTATTTTACTTAATGAATATTTTGATGAATTGTTACTATTCTAGAAAATTTTCAAATTGGATTTTAAATTGACAGCCGCTTTGAAAATAATCGCGGGCTGCCGATTTTCTGAACGTTCGCGAAATTCAGAAATGGATCCAGATTCAAGACGCCAGTCGGTAAATGTCGAAAAGACATAACCGGTATAAAATTGTGCGAAATTGCTCGTGTGGCCCGTGAGATAAAATGAGTTTTGACATGACTGCTCCGCACCGTGTCGGATTCGCATGACCCGGCGCGATATGACAAACGATTGTGCGCGTACACGCGTGACGGAAGTGTTATCACGAGACGACGTAAGAGCGAAGAAGACGAAGGAATGCACGCATACACGAGAGGAATGGGTTGACGAGGTCGGATGAATGCCGTTAGACTGTGTCACGTCGCGACTACATACGCGTTGTGTGAAACATCGTCGCCTAGGAGGAGAAGTAGAAACGGACAGACTGAAGAAGGGAGACAGAAACAAAGAGAGAGTTCCAGGATCGGAATCTGCACGATCCCGATTGTCTCCACGCGAAATCAAACCTGTCACCAATGAGTTTCGCCGATCGGAGATGCCGAGACATTCTATCAAATTTAAGCGATTGTGTGAAAATAAAACAAATATTTTGTATCCTGAACTGATATTTACCGCATGTTAAAATGCTAGATTTTAGCCTTCTTCATCAATTGCTAAATTTATTATATTCAATTAAATAAGAGAAATTCTATATTCGGTTAAAGTAGATCTTATTTATGTGTGAATTTATATACATATCTGATTCTGCAAATTCATATAATGATTGTTCATTATATTCATCTGTCATTGAATATAAAAAAATAATATAAAAGTGGAACAAATGATAAAATATAATACAAAAAATAAAATACCCGAACTTACTTATCGTACTCAATTTTTATAATAAAAAGTAACTTATAAGCAACTTGTAAAGTAATTTTCTCTTCCTTACTCATTTGCATATTTTAACGTACTATTAATTAAGATTAAAACATTCGGGACAGAGAGATTGCAAATAATAAGCCAAAATTTATTAATTTAACTTAAAACACTAAATAAAGCAATGAATATAAGAATATACTACGTCAATTATTTTTCTGTACGGAGAGAAAAATGTACTGAATTTTAATAAATATTTGTTTCAATAATACGAGTTGAATATTTATTAAATGTAAATATATTTATATTTATTTAGTATAAGAATCATTAATTTGATTTAACTATTATTATTTTTTATTTAGCAAAC